ACTTACACTTGAGAGATAGCTAACCCGTCCGTTTTCCTTCTCACACCTCCACTTCCTCACCTATCGTTCTTTCAGCCCTATACGTGTTCTCAAATATTCATGACCATGCAGCCAGTGTCAGCTGAGAATATCTAAATGGGAAGCCTAAGGCAGAAGGAAATCATCCTACTATGAAATTCTCCAGGCCTCTATGAATGTTAAAGCAGTCATCTATAAACCTCGCTCCATCAGTTTCCTCCCCCTCACTGTTACAGTTTTCCCTTCTTATTTCCTCTCCAAAACTCTAATGGTGAATACAGCATGAAATATCAGACAAATTGGCAAATTTGCCATTTTTAAAACATATTCAGTGGTTACTGTGTGTGCCATCTACATTCCATTGCAGCAAATCAAATCATGGCATAACATCTGCCACCAAAGCTAAAAGTGATATGTAAAAACTTTTGACAGCTGATTTGTAAAACACAAACACACTTAAGCACAGCAAACAGGCCTCATGCTCACGCACTCTTAAAAAAAGAAGCAATATTAAATGATCTGAGTCTTGGCTGAGTGATCTGCCACTTAAGTGGCTGGGGACTGACGCATTGTGCCAGCTCATGTTCGGGGTCATGCCTGTGTCACTTAAAGACTCTCTAATGAGACCCAGACAAGCACACTGTGCCCGGCCAAGCGGAGCCAAAAATCTAAAAGCCAACCACAGCACGTGCACACTGGTGCCAGAAAAAACACAGAGGAAAGAAAGATAAAAAAAAGCAAAGGAAGATCTTCAACTATTGCAAGGCCACTACATTAGGTCTGCTATAAGACAAGATGGAATTTTGTGCAGTTCTGATAGGGCAACAGACAGCCTTGATCCAGCTCATGTTTTTGAATGGTCACAGAACGCCATGATGCAATTCATCATTCAAAACTTTTTCTTTTGAAGTCAGTGGGATGTGTGAAGATGAGTGAAGAGTTTGAAAGGCTCAGCAGGACCTGCCCTGTAAGTGTATTAGTTCAGCTTTAAGATCTAAAAGCCCAGCGTGAGTGAAATGGCATATAGTATATCACTGATATTCCTGACAGATTGACAGGAGCTACTGAGACATCTCAGTCACAGAGAGCGAATGAGGAACAGCTTGATAGAAAGATAATGCAGTGCTTGTACATTAAAGTACCACTGGACATCCCTAGGAAGATTTCCTTTTTTTAAACAAAGTTGTTCTTATTAATGGAAATTTATAGTAGGTGGTAAATATTTTACCAGGTATCAGTAACATATCTTTATATCCAGGAATATGCATAGCTTACTTAGCCACAAGGTTGGTTTTGTAAAACCTCTGGTGACAGTGTGGTGCAAAACACAACATGAATATTCAACAGACACCTCAGAATAAACCATTGTGTTCCCATTTCAGGCAAATTTCATCTGGGACTGTGTTTCAAGGCTGAATTTTAAGAGGCAAATGACCATACAGCTAGACACACAAGCTAATGCCATCACAGTACACACATAAAAATGCAAATAAATGGAGTGCTACATGATAAAATTCAAATAAAGTTAATGTAAACTGTTGGACATGCTTTATGTTTAAAGACTATTTCTGCAGCGTAAAAGTAACTGTATGTAATTTTAAAGTGCCTATTGTTGAGCTTCTCAAACTGCAATGCAACTGCTTTAAAAATGCAAACAGCAATTTTGGTGAAACTGCTCAGAAACTATTTTGAAAATCTGATGTACATACAAAAGTATCCTGGCACAGCATGGCACAATCTGGAAACAAGCAGGCTGAATATAATACTAGCCGGACTAATATACTTTATATTCAGCTGGTAGAGCATGTATTAGCCTGAAGTCACCTCCACTTTTTCATTTTATTGCCAGGACAGCGGAATCCAGGCTACTTCTCTGAGGAGAATGTTGTCTTCAGGAGGTCCAGAGACCCAAGGAATACCATATACCAGATTTTAAAATGTGACACACAAGGCCAGATGAAATTGCTCCTGTTGAATTTATGTCCAAGGAGACTGAAATTCCTACGTATACATAACAACATATGCCAAGGTATTTTTCAGGACAGAACATGTATAGGTAGGCTGCTACAATATAACCCTATAGGACAATAAAATGTGTTGTGTTTATTTATTATGGTCTGTTGCTTACATGTTTTTAACATACTGTAAGTAATTAAAACTTTGTGTGGGGTAAATTATGTGGACATGTTTGCATGCATACAACAATGCCATTACAGCATATTCCGGAGGAAAAGTAATACACCGGCAGTTAATGTAACTACATGCAATGAATTAAAATATTATCCAAAGGAAAAGATACAGTGGGTACGGAAAGTATTCAGACCCCCTTAAATTTTTCACTCTTTGTTATAGTGCAGCCATATGCTAAAATCATTTAAGTTCATTTTTTTCCTCATTAATGTACACACAGCACCCCATATTGACAGAAAAACACTGAATTTTTGACATTATTGCAGATGTATTAAAAAACTGAAATATCACATGGTCATAAGTATTCAGACCCTTTGCTCAGTATTTAGTAGAAGCACCCTTTTGAGCTAATACAGCCATGAGTCTTTTTGGGAATGATGCAACAAGTTTTTCACACCTGCATTTGGGGATCCTCTGCCATTCCTCCTTGCAGATCCTCTCCAGTTCTGTAAGGTTGGATGGTAAACGTTGGTGGACAGCCATTTTCAGGTCTCTCCAGAGATGCTCAATTGGGTTTAAGTCAGGGCTCTGG